TTTTTTTCACACACATTGTACTTTAGGCATGAATTAACAAATCGTGTTATGTGTCACTGCCAAACAACACACCAATATGTGTTCAGCAACATCTCCTGAGTACAGTGATACCACCCATGCATAGGCTTGTCGGATTGTTTGGGGGCTAAAAGGCCACATTTGGCAGGTGCGCATATCCATTTTTCAACTTGGAATTTTAACATGTAGTCAACCTGCGCACATGTTCTTTTTGGGACATTTGTAAGGCCGGCCAATGTATTTTACCCCCACCAAACCATATATTTTTGGAAAGTAGACCCCCTAGGGTATTTCAAATGGTGTTTTATTTAACACTTTCCATGCACTTATTCTACCACCAGACTTTGTCAAACTTTTAGGTAGTCATTTTTTGTGTGTGTTTTTTCACACACATTGTAATTTAGGCATGAATTAACAGATCGTGTTATGTGTCACTGCCAAACAACATGCCAATATGTGTTCAGCAACATCTCCTGAGTACAGTGATACCACCCATGCATAGGCTTGTTGGATTGTTTGGGGGTTAAAAGGCCACATTTGGCAGGTGTGTATATCCCTTTTTCAACTTAGAATTTTGACATGTAGTCAACCTGCGCACATGTCCTATTTGGGACATTTGTAAGGCCGGCCAATGTATTTTACCCCCACCAAACCATATATTTTTGGAAAGTAGACACCCTAGGGTATTTCAAATGGTGTTTTTTTTAACACTTTCCGTGCACTAATTCTACCACCAGACATTGTCAAACATTTAGGTAGTCATTTTTTGTGTGTTTTTTTTCACACACATTGTAATTTAGGCATGAATTAACAAATCGTGTTATGTGTCACTGCCAAACAACACGCCAATATGTGTTCAGCAACATCTCCTGAGTACAGTGATACCACCCATGCATAGGCTTGTCGGATTGTTTGGGGGCTAAAAGGCTACATTTGGCAGGTGTGCATATCCATTTTTCAACTTGGAATTTTGACATGTAGTCAACCTGCGCACATGTCCTATTTGGGACATTTGTAAGGCCGGCCAATGTATTTTACCCCCACCAAACCATATATTTTTGGAAAGTAGACACACTAGGGTATTTCAAATGGTGGTTTTTTAACACTTTCCATGCACTAATTCTACCACCAGACTTTGTCAAACATTTAGGTAGTCATTTTTTGTACGTTTTCTATCACACACATTGTACTTTAGGCATGAATTAACAAATCGTGTTATGTGTCACTGCCGAACAACATGCCAATATGTGTTCAGCAACATCTCCTGAGTACAGTGATACCACCCATGCATAGGCTTGTCAGATTGTTCGGGGGCTAAAAGGCCACATTTGGCAGGTGCGCATATCCATTTTTCAACTTGGAATTTTGACATGTAGTCAACCTGCGCACATGTCCTATTTGGGACATTTGTAAGGCCGGCCAATGTATTTTACCCCCACCAAACCATATATTTTTGGAAAGTAGACACCCTAGGGTATTTCAAATGGTGGTTTTTTAACACTTTCCATGCACTAATTCTACCACCAGACTTTGTCAAACATTTAGGTAGTCATTTTTTGTGTTTTTTTTTTTCACACACATTGTACTTTAGGCATGAATTAACAAATCGTGTTATGTGTCACTGCCAAACAACACGCCAATATGTGTTCAGCAACATCTCCTGAGTACAGTGATACCACCCATGCATAGGCTTGTCGGATTGTTTGGGGGCTAAAAGGCCACATTTGGCAGGTGCGCATATCCATTTTTCAACTTGTAATTTTGACATGTAGTAAACCAGCGCCCCTGTCCTATTTGGGCCAATGTATTTTACCCCCATCAAACCATATATTTTTGAAAAGTAGACAACTCAGGGTATTTTAAATGGTGGTAGTTTAATACTTTTCATGCAATAATTCTACCCCAGCCTTTGGCAAACTTTTGGGTAGTAATTTTCTTCATGTTTTTTTACACATACATTGTACTTTAGGCATGAATTAACAGATCCTGTTATGTATCACTGCCAAACAACACCCCAATATGTGTTCAGCAACATCTCCTGAGTACAGTGACATCACCCATGCATAGGTTTGCTGGGTTGTTTGGGGGCTAAAAGGCCACATTCAATACTTGTACATATCAGTTTTTCAACTTGATATATAGGTATGCTTGGCCTATCTTCAGTTTGGCATATTTTTGCATCCCCCCGTTAATGTTAACATCATGAAAGTTTATATTTTTATAAAGTAGACATTCCAGAGTATTGTATATGAGGTGTTTTCACATCCTTCCCCCAACCATTGTGCTAAACAAATTTCAGAGAACGTGCATGGTGGTAATTTTTTAATTCTGCTTTTTATGCACACGTCATCTGGTTTTGGCCAGCCAGTTATATGTTACTACCATAAAACTTTTTTAACCAAATGTGCAGGTATCAAATGCACCTTTAGCAGCATTCTCTAAACTAACTCCTGCAAAAAGAATCTAATTGGAGATTTGGGGGGAAGGAAACTGACTAACTAAAATTTGCTGTTTTCAAAAGAAAAAAAAACAGTGTCCTTTTCCTTTTTTATAACAGACCCAGCAACATTTCAGGGGATTTGTTTTTTTTTGCAGTTGGCGGTATCTTAAAAATAAAATGTCTGGACTCCTTTGGCACCGTTGTTGGAACTTGACCATCTCCATAAATTATTGTGGAAATCAGCTTGAACTAAAATTGGAGAAAGGTGGTTCTTTCTGAATTCATTTTTTTTTAAAGAGTAAAAATTAATTATGTGTTGCTACTTGCATCAGGTAGATAGCCACCTTTTTATGCCAGGCTTTTGTCTTTCTTAAGATAAGATATGGCTGCATCAGCTGATCAGCCAAATCAACACCCCCCATGTGCCTGTTATAAGCCCTGATGCACACCGGTTTTGTCTGTACCCTGCCTCGGACAGTGACGTCTGACATGCCCTCGTTATGGATGGTTGTTAGCATGTGAACATCCTTCCTGTCCTTAAATTTTATTGCAAGCACTTTAGCTTTGTGCAGACCTTTACATTCACTTTTTTTTTTTTTGGCCTCTATTAAAGGTCTGGGGAAATCCTTGGCATATCTTCTCACACTGCCACAGGCCAGTATCTAGAAACCCTAAAGAGTTTGAAACAAACAGACAATGCTATAAAAATTGTCCACATAAAGGTGGTAACCCTTATTGAACAAGGGGATCAGTAAGTCAAAAACAAGTTTCCCGCTTGTCCCCAGAGAGTCAGTACAGCCAGGAGGGTCCAGTTGACCATCTTTCCCCTCATATATACGAAAGGCAAATGTATAGCCACTTTCGCTCTCGCACAGTTTGTAGAATTTTACGCCATACCTAAAGCGCTTTGAGAGGATGTATTGTTTGAATCCTAATCTCCCTTTATATTTCATTAACGATTCATCAATAGATAAATTTTTTTGAGGAGTATAAACTTCAGTAAATTTGTGCTGAAGATGGTCTACCAGTGGGTGTATTTTATGAAGCCTATCATATTGGGTGTGATCTCTGCGGTGACAGAGGGTATTGTCATTGAAATGTAAGTATCTCAGCAGCAGCTCAAATCTTGTTCTAGACATGGTTTGAGAGTACACTCGACTAGAACAGATTGGGTTGGTGCTCCAGTAAGAGCAAATTGATGGCTTCTTTATAATCCCCATGAGAATTGTAAGAGCCCAGAATTTTTTAAGTTCAGCGACATCTGTGGGATGCCAAGCACACTCCTCCCTGACTGCATAGCTATCTGGATTGGTATCAATAAATTGGGTAGCATATAAATTAGTCTGGGGAGCAATCTCCTCCCACATGGTATCCCCTAAAAATAGCTCCATATATTGCATAGAGGAGAAGTCATCCACATTGACATTAATGCCTGTGTTGGCACTAAAAGGGGTGATTTGGGGCTCAGCTAACTGTGGAGAAACCTGTTCCTCCTCCACATTCGGCGTAGCAGAGAAAGCACAGCTTCTTTTTGCAGCCAGCTCACACACAGATGACATGTCAGAAAACTGACCTGGGTCAAAATCGGACGCAGTGTCAGTGGCGTCAGAGTCTGGCTAACACAGAGTTAAAAAACAGACTAAATGAGACTAAAACTTCTGTTAGCAGCAATCTGTAAACTAACTCCTGCAAAAAGAATCTAACTGGAGATTTGGG